TTCATTAGCCAAGGCACTAAATATCTTCTTTTGATGACTATCTGTTCAAATATTTTCATGTACATTTTCCTGCTCCATCATATTCGCAAAATTAAAAGAAAAACCGGTGATATAACGGCCAATTCCTCTGGAATAGAACAATCTCGAATCGCTAAGAAAATTTCAGTCATAACGATAACGTTTTTGGTCATTGCAACACCTTTTTATCTCACTCTTACATTCCCCATTCTGGACTATAGTACACCATTTGGGCAGACGGCTTACTCAGCGTGCGGAATATTACTGTGTATGAATAGCGCAATGAATCCGGTGTTCTATGTCTGGAGGATGAAAGAACCCCGTTATCACCTCAAACTATTATTCATGTTTTGGAATAGGGCATATTGCGAGAAACTGACACAAGAGAACAATTTGAAGTTTGCCACTTACAACATGACTAGTTCTTCAGGATCAGATAAAAATAGTACTTTAGTTAAAAATTAAGAGGTATGCCACGCTTGTAAATACTGTTGATGAATTGAATAATACAATTATGGACTCTTTTGATGCTGAATATGGTTTGGTATTTACCAGAAAAATATCATATTGACCGAGGCGAAGCCAAAAAGTATACCTGAGTGGCAATTTATAAATACGTTTTGTAAATATTTTTTTTTCTTTGTCTAATAGATTTTGTACAGTGTGCAAGTTGTATTTGAATTTATTTTTCTGTAAGTTTCTTTGTATAACCAAAGAAATTGTTCTCGATTATTTTTGTATAAAACATGCTTGCGATGACATAAAAGAGAAATTAAAAAGGTAAGATAATTAAAAGAAATAATATCATATGATCTATATGCAAATGTTTTTTGTTGGTATGTGTTAAATATTTTGAAAATGTAGATATAGTATTTAAAGTGCTATATTTGTATTGTAAATCATTAGAAAAAAATGTTACAGTTTTCTGGAGTAAATTTGATTTTATGCATTTGTGATTAATTGATTGATTGACTGTTTGTTTTTTAAAGTCTGTATTTTAAAAATTTCTTAATTCATAAAGAGAAACCATTGGCATATATGAGAATGCAATGCATATGTATATCCAAAAGACTTACATAAGAGTTTATTTAGCAAAATTTATTTTCTATGTAAGGCGCTAGATAGAGTACATGGCTAAATGTTTTACGTTCTGTTTCACTATAGTGTTGTATTGGTATATAACATATCATTATGCAGTCGTTAATTACCTCCTTATACATGTACCCAGTAATTAATTTGTCAATGATTTCTTTTGAATGTCATTCAAATATGTGTACCATGTAAGGATATACTCAAAGTCAACAAAATTTGTTACCTAGCGTTTGAAATTCAGAAGGTGATATACTTTTGTAGATGAGTCTTGATACAAATATGTTTCTGTGTAATAAACTTGTTTTACATTTGTGTTTGTCACGGTCTTTTGAAAATAACAATATATCACGCACGCCAATATCTAACTGCTAACTGATTAAAACATTGGAACAATTACTTTCCTGTCAGCTTAATATTGGCGAATTTCGAGGGCACTCCTCATCCAGTAATTAACATCCTTCACAGCAGTATGAAAATCAAGATATTTTGTCAGATGTTTGAAAAAATTATTCTATGTATTAATCAGACATGCGATACTTTAACACAATATTTTAGTGATGCACTTTTTTTTTTATCCAGTAGTAAATAAAAAGAAATATAAAAAAAAAAACCAGACCGCTTTTTAAAAAATAAATTAGTAAATACTGTGTGTTTTTAAAATGATCTGTCCAATATCTTGTGGAGATTGTCTTTTTCAGAATGTTGAAAAAGGGTGATTTTGTTACATTGAGATATTCTTCATTGAATATGGATGATTTTTACTGCACTATTTAGTCTGAAAAGAAAAGCAAACTGCTGACGTATAATTTTTATCAAGTCTTAAAATCTTTTTTCAGCATGTTTACATGACAATACCGCTGCTTGCGAAAAGGTAATATTTGTTGTAACTTAATTGTCAAGCCAAAGAATATATGCAAACCTTGAAAAGTTGTTTACAGCATTAAGAAATATTGGATATTAAACATGTTAAATAACCAAAATATTTCAATCATATTACAAAAGAAGATAATGTTTCTTGGCTGCCAAAGTAGTTTTTTCTTTGCTTCCAATTCTTAAAAACTGAAAGAAATCGAACAGAGATGCTTCTAGTAACGATTAATTTCTTCCTTCAAAATACTATTTGTCAACTCCAATCAACTAGTGTTTATTTCATCACATATTATCTCAATTCTATTTTGAAAATTTAGTAAAATCCTTAAAAAGTAACAGATCATTTTCCAGTTAATGTTTTACCAATCCTCTTTCTTTACTCCTCAATTCATGAAAAATATTAACAGCAGTGAAGATGAAACTTCGGAAGAACAATGAATTCTAAAAGTGGTTTAGATAAGATATAAATGCTAAAAAAATCTATTAAAATAAATCAGTCAATTTTTTTTTTTGGAAAACTTGAAATCACAGAATTTTACCAAAATCAATCGCGAAAAACGTTTGACTTTTCAACTCTACATACTTAGCATTAGATCCTGATTTACAAACTCTGTTGTGGGCGTATTTCCCGTCAATGCTCGATAATATTACGGAGCACATGACGGTTGTGGCCGATTAGCAGGGGATGCTCAATCCTCCATTGTATCTGATCCCACCACTAATTATGAAGAGGTCTGTGTTTGATCTGCTCCTCATAGTTTTTTGCGCTTACCTCTTTTCTTTAAACGATATGGAAAAAAGTGCAAATTAAAAAAAAAAAAAAAAAAAAAAAAAAACGCATAACATTTGTATAACTTTAGGCAACTTTTTTCACCGTAACAATGTACAATCTTAACCGCTGCTTTTTGCATATTAGTTTATCTTTGCTTGATTTTTGGCAAATCGGAGTATAAACTGCATGTAAATTTCATGTCTTACAAGAGAAGTTGACATTTTAGAAATGGCTGTGCATGCATGCATTAATTGAGAAAAAAAAACACTTGATCGGTCAGAGCACTTATTATACTATTATGACCACAATATGCTACATTGTTATGTACTTTTTCTTACCGGATATTTGTTAAATCAGTCGAAAGGCTGGCAATTTGCCGTTTGCTACGACTGGAGTAATTAATAAACGTACAACCTTGAATCGCTAATAAGAAAACCAGCCAAAAGGAACACACGTTTGGTTATTTCTTCACCTTTTTGTGTCGATCTAAACGTTCCCAATCTTAGATTACAGTCCAGCATTTGGAAAAAAAGCTGTCCCCTCAACCTGCAGGCAAATTTGTGTGTCTAAACAATGCAATAAAATAATTATTTTTCAACTATATACTAATCTCGCAGGAGGTAATTAATTTTGCTTTGATATTGGGCGTACTGCTTCAAACTGAAGCATTGGTACAATAAGAATTTTTCCTGATATTATTACTAGTTTTTCAGCAGCAACAAAAATCAGGGCAATTGCTAAATATTACAATGTTACTCCTGTTGTCGATTTTATGTGTAAATATTAAAATCGAGATAATAAATTTTAAGACTACTTTATTTAACAGAATGACTTTCTTGTCGATCAATAATAAAAACACGTTACTACTTATTTTAAGAATATGAAGTAATAAACTCTTTCAAGAAAAGCTGACTTTTTACAATCGACGGCTTAGTTTTACATATACACCGTACGAAAGCTTTAGCTATTTATGCAATTATAGCAATTGGCATTTTAAAAACATTTAACGAAGGATCGAAAACAACCCTGCCCTTTACCCCTGTCTTTTCAGCTTGACAAATTCCTGCAAAGTGTCCCTTCAGGGATGCTTTTTTTTCTTTTTTAAGAAATTCCTTCAGAAAAAAGTATGTTTTCTATCTATTGTGAAGTAGTGTAAATTTAATCAGATGGGATATTTTTTTAATTCAAAGGAACTTTTAAAAACATACTTTTAAAATCAAAAAATTGATAACAAGACAAAACTTTTGACTTTTAAAATTTATATAAAACAAGTCCCTATGATAAATGAAAGAACAGACTTTTGATAGATATTGGAAAATTGAACTCCTGAATTTTCTTACCTTTTCATTTGTCATGTGCCAAATTATGCTGTTAAAATATTCTGATTATATACTATACAGGTGATATTAAAAGATGCTTAACTGTCTAATTTGGAATATCTTGTGATTTTTGGAGACTTGATATTCCTGCTCGGAATTCCAATGTGTACCAAATGCGCCCCATTATTAACATTCCTATCATTTTATTTAGATGAATTAAGAAATAAGCGGATCCATAAAAGAAGAAAACAATTGCTTTGGCTTTCAACTCGACGTAAAGATATATCGACTCGCGTATTGTAAATAAACAATTGATTTATTCCATTGATTTGTCGATACGGTATATACCAATGAACTTGAAATAAAGGATATCAAAGAGTCTGACAAATTGTTTTGATATTTGTTTATTTTATTAGAAAACGACTTTACCAGTAACCTTTCACACAAGATTTATATTAAGGTGATGACTTTTTCAATCATTAACTTTTTTTAAACTTCCATTACTTAATATGCAGCAATGCATCTTCCTCACCTGCATACAGGGTTTATATCTCTCAGTTGATTTGATAATCAAACTTTGCATTGTTTAATCGACTTTTGAGCTTAAATACTGTTCTGTGTCTCCGTATATTTCATCCGTTCCTCGGTATATAACGCAGGTTTTAATTTCAAAGCAAGATGTCAACTGTAAACGTTAAATGCTTCTCACAAAAGTCTAACACTATATATGCTTCATGCGAATTTGTCTAAGTCTAAATCTAATGCGTATTACGAGTATTAATGCAGTGAGTGCAAAAGGGTAATTTGTAACATGTTTACATATGTTTTTAGTTAGCTTCAGCAAGGAAGATTATATGATTAATTAATACATTTTTCTCGTTCTGATATTGTCTTGTACATATGTATATAAGCATTGCCAAAACCATGTATAAAAACGTTTTTGCTTTTTAGATAGCTAAGTAACATTACTACCATGAAGACTTTGAGCTGTAGTTTTGTTTTGTTACAAGGGATCTTTTTTCTTCCCTTTTTAGTTGACAATGTTTCTCTTGACAATATTGATCCGTCGACAGTTACAAATAAAGTGTCCGGAGTTTTACGTGATATTCTGAATAAGGATACTTTAGTACGGCTGTCAATGGTTCAGAAAATACAATCACTAGCAATGGATGCCATAGATTCTAGAAACAACACCCAAAATTTAATGAAAATGATTAATGACATGATGAAAGAATTAAAAAATATGAGGACAACGCAAAGAAAGATTGAAGAGGAGATATCGAATTTTGAAAAGAAATTAAGGGATGAATTTATTAAGATTTTAAAGGAGCAACATTCCAAAAGTCAACTGGAAAATAACTCTTCAAGTAAGTGATTATTCTGTCCAACTATGAACTAGATGATAACGTGGACTTCACCATTTCTTTTCGTAATATTTAAGGAAACACATTCAAGATACGATTCAAATTAATAGCTTTAGCGTTCACAAATGACTTACGAAAAATCACGCCATTTGTATATTAACTTCATTCTAATTTGATTTGAAAAAAAAAAATACTTTTACGGAAAAATATAATTTTTTGATTCTCTTGATGTATTTTACATAACTCCAGATTTAAATTAAAAACATCTTAAATAATAATAATAAAAAAAATCACATTTTAATAAGGAAGGCTTACATTTGTAGATTGCTTATTAGGCAAAGGAACTGTCATATTGCATAATTTTACAAGAAATTCAACTTGCAAAATTGAATAAAAGAGGGATTACGAAATATTTTTACATACTGAGTATTTCAAATTTAAAGTCATGTGGAAGAGTTAAGTTGAGGAATCACTGTCTACTTAATAGAGTATACCATGATATCAATGACATTTGGGAATATGGAATAATTTGCATGACGGATTATGAATGAATTATCTCACGTTTTCAACAATCGTTAATGTTCCTGGTCAACAAAGACATCCGCAGAAGATTTACATGCCTATAGCTATAAGGCCTAAATAGCGTGAGACACAAAGACAGATGCAAGCATATTATGCCTCCTCAGATCAATTAAATGAATACCATTGTTTGCTTTTATACAAATTCCATTTTTCTCACCGCACAGTGCTAGAAGAAATCAAGAAATAGATAAGGGCTTGCTTGTAGTCAACAACCATTGTATCATACAGGAGTGAAACATATCAAACAGTTATCGACCTTTTTATGAAATGCAAAGCTTAAGGTTCATTAACCCTCTGCTCACTTATAAATATAAAATGTTTCTTCAACTTTTATGGTTTTCCAAAGGAAATGTATATGCTTAATGAAATACAAACAGTAATAACATGGCTCGCGGGGCAAAATATGACAAAAAACGCACTTTAACTTGACAAATTTATAAAGGAATAATAGACATTTGTGTCATTAAGAGTTATCTCTCTTACTAGAGTATTATTGTACCTTAAGCATCCCTTTTATACAGTCTGTCAGGTATTCACCTCGCCCTTCCATTTTAGAGAAAATCGATTTCAAGGATGAGTAGGTCATTGCATTAACCAAAAATTGCAAGTGTATTGCATTTCTTACTTAAATAAATGTTTTAAGAAACATTGCATTGCATTCAATTTATATATAATACAGGTGGCGGTGCCATTTTTGTTAATTGGGGAAAACCAAAGTGTCCAGATAATACATCACAGATGGTATATTCGGGTAAGTATATAAATTCGTCTTATGTACATACATACCGGTCACGGTAGCCTAGTGGTAGAGCGTTCGCTTCGTGATCGGGAGGCCCGGGTTCGATTCTCGATCGCGGCGCCGCGTCATACCTAAGACGTAAACATAGGTAGTGACTGTTCCTTCGCCAAGCGCTCGGCACTAGAAGTGAAAGTCACGGGTCTTTCGGATATGACCTTAAAAACGTAGATCCCGTGTCACGGTAGGCGTTGGCACGATAAAGAACCCTCACTGCTCAATGGTCCTGAGTGCCGAGTATAGGTCTAAATTTGAAGCCCTTCACCGGCATCGGTGACGTCTCCATATGAGTGAAAAATTCTCAAGAGGGACGTTAAACAATATACAATCAATCAATATGTACATACATTGTATATCTATGAAACTAATGGAGATAACGTACAGTATTCAAGATCAATATCCATAGAATAAAAATAGGAGCAGAGCAAATAAGAACCTCCAAAACATCGGAGTTTGTATCAAGTACATGTACCAATGAGGAGTAAGCATCCCCTACCGATCGGTTACACCCGCCGTATGCTCCTTGTCATAATCGAAAAATAATGTTAAAATCCCTCATCCATTCAGTGTATAAATAATTGACTAACAATAGCTATGAAAACCTTCAGTCAGCATTTTTAAATTAAGAAAACTAAACTGTTGTTATTTTGAGGGAATGGGTACCAAAAAATGATAATATATGTTATAATGCAAAATGTAATCTTCCCATTTAAATAATTTGTTTGTCTTTTTGTCTTTATACACATATCACTTTGCATCATAACAGTTTATGTTCTCTAAAGAATACATTTTAATGAATAGATAAATCTCATAAATATTGTCATTCCTAATTATATATAAGTTACAAGTTAACATTAGAATGCATTTTCCTCTAATGTTTAAGGTTTTCTTGGAGGATCAGAATACAGTACAAAGGGAGCGGCCGTCACCAATGTCTGTCTTTCCCCTGATCCAATCTTTGGAAACTGGTCAATATTAGGATCGGTGAATGTTATGTATGGATCAGAACTGGATTACGATTTAGTTGGACACGGAACAGGAACCCAAGACACCACGTGTGCAGTGTGCAAAAGTAAGATTCACTCCTCCGTTGTTATGATCCCTGGGAGAAATGAATGTTATCCGGGATGGAAGAAACAATATGGCGGATATCTAATATCTGGTCCGACTGGAAATTCCCCTAAGGAAATTATCTGTTTCAATGAAGATCCTGAGTTTGTTGTAGGTGGCGGGGATAATGATAACGGAAATCTTCTATATCCAATTAAAGCTGTCTGTGGTTCCCTTCAGTGTCCACCTTACGTAAATGGAGAATTATTAACCTGCGCTGTGTGCACCCAGTAATGTGATACATGGAGGATTTATATCATTATTGTAGTAAGGATTGATTGATTGTGTGTTATTTAACGTCCCTCTTGATATTTTTTTTACTCATATGGAGACGCCACAACTTCCATGGAGAGCGGCAAAATTTGTCCTATACTCAGCACTCAGGGTCATAGAGCTGGGAGGGATCTTTTTCGATTCAGCACTTACTGCGACACGGGACCTCTATTTACTGAGTATACGGTCTCATCCGAAGGACCTGTATCCATGTCCCACAATGGGATTTGAACCCGCAACTTAAGGATCAACTTCTTACTTCGCAACTCAAAAACAAACGCTTTAACCACTGCGCCAAGCGAGCGATTGACGTAAGGAAAATAGTACACTTCCAAGACAATATTCTGACGCTATATATTCTGACTGATTTTGAAATGTTTAGCAAAATGTTTTTTCTTACCCCAACTGATCATAAAAAGGTTAATTACACCAACAGATAACTTTATGTTACATAACAGCACCACTTCTTCTTGTCAAATATCCAGATGTAGATAAGGATACCATATAGATTTTTTTTAGTTTAGAAAATAAAGAGAGATAACGAACAGTATTCAACCTCAAATGTCCTTTCAACAATACAAAATTGAAGCAAAATAAACATGGACCTCTAAAACATCAGGGGTTTGTCCAGATGCCATGGAGGAGTGAGCATCCCCTGCCGGCCTGTCATAACCGTCGTGTGCCCCATGTCATGATCGACCCCCCCCCCCCGAAAAACTGGTCGTTCGTTGATATTAGCCTTATAATTAGTATGATGATCTTCAGTCAGCATTTGACCTAATGACAAATGGTATTTGCTGACAAAGTCATTGTATCAACTATAAAACTTACGAACTTACGAATGGTGACTGCTTATATTCTTATTTCATCACTTTATTTGTCAATAATTTGCCTCGATTGAGAAATTATCCATGCGCAAGGAATGCTCTTTCGGAGCGAATTATCTGATTTACAAATTCCAGTTTTACAAAAAGTAGAGATTTCTTTGGAACTTTTTGCATATCAGAATAATGTATTTAAACCAGTAACTTTTCTTTTATTAAAATGTTTTATGCTAACATTAACTTCTGTTTTATATGGTTGTACACATGTACTTCTTAAAATACGATAATTTAAATATATTTTTTTACTATTGTAATTTAAAACTACAGTTGTATATTTAATGAAAACAAATGCAATTGTCCTATTTTGAACACTTAAAATTACGAGAAGGGAGAAACGTAAAAGTTGTAAATACATCCAGATACAAATATATAGTACATGTATAACATTTTTCTGTCAAGGCCCTAAAGTCTCAAAAGATATGCAGTGTAGTTGGTACGAGAGTCTGCTCTGGAGTATCAGTGTAAGGAATATATCATTATGTCGCTGATTCAAATCCCACTGTTGGACTTGGAGACCAGTTCTTTGGATCATACCCTATAACCAGAGTCACAAGAGCTATATACGAGGGCTGTTCAATAAATAATGTCCTGAATTATATAACATACATTACAGATATCATATGACATTTAACTTGACTTTCTCTAAATATTGAATCTTTCATGAATTTATAACAGTTTATGTGACCACTTTTCATCACATAGTTTCATCGTGAGAAGCTGGGAAACAAGGGCTTTTCGATACACTGCATTATAAATGAATGGTAAAGAATCAGTAAACTAGATTGAAAATAAAAGCTTCATTATAGCTACCGTAAAACTTGTTAAAAATCCCAAAGAAATATTCACTGAAATATATGACATTTACAGCAACCAATGCCTGTTTTATAGACAAAAGAGCAGGTGGATTTCAATGATAAAAAATTATATAATGGGCATAAAAAATGGGTACCCTCCTTGCCAACAAAAATTATAACAACTTATGTACTGGTTGCCAAATTTCAACAAATAATATTTGATGATGTATGATTGATTTTAAGACACATAGCAAATTTTGATAGACATCATATCGGGAGTAGTTTACAATGTTTTCAAGAAACGTTTGACGGTAAAATAGCTTGGTACTCAAAGGTCACCCTATATTTTGAAAAATGAGTGAAAACAACAGCGTATACGAGATTCGTAAAAATTATTTTAAAAATATCAGTAATTTTAGTTATCCACGTTTGTTTTATTTTCAAACACATATTGGAACATGAATCTATTGATTAAAACCCTCAAAACAAAATTTACCATAAGATGTACTTGATAAAAACGTCGAATGTCTGACAAGATCACAAGTATTCAAGAGCACAAAGACAGATTTATATGTAATTTTCTTAAATATTAGTGGTATTGTTGCTCAAATTCGTATTCGGAGAGACAGTTTAATTTCTGGAGGAGTCTAGAAAGCAATTTTTTTTGCAAAAAAAAAATCAAAAGGTTCATTAGAGGAAGGACCCAGAATCAGGAATCCTCTACATTGAATTTCTTCAAAACAGCGTCCAAACCCGCATGCCCTGAAGAGTAAAGGGATTTTCGGGATAAACAGAAAGTTAATGTTTTTTTCACATTAACAATATTCGCCAGATCTTCGACCTTTTGACTTGTTTCTATTTCCAAACTTGAAAAAACACCTTTCGGAGGGAAGGAACAAGTCCGGGAAATCATTGGATCTGCCATTTTCCAGTATACTAAGGGTCATACCCAAAAATGAGTTCTAAAAACAATCAGAAATTAGATAAAAAATGTTACGGACATGTATTTTTCTTAAAAGAGATTAATTAGTAAAATCATGAAGACTAAATCATTGAAAAGCGTCTTTTGCTCCTTTCTGAGCACCGAGGACATTATTTATTGAACAGCCCTCGTAGGTGCTGAATATAGGACAATATACACCGCTCTCCAACGGCAAGTTTTGGTGTCTCCATCTGAGTAAAATACCTAGAAAGACGTTTAAGAACAAACAAACATATCCCTGGATCTTTTCAAACTTGTCTCTTTAAACATTGCTGTTCTTGAATATCTTAAACTTATATGCCTAGTGATTTTTTTGAGGTGTGCTTTAGCCCGTTGGATTGTTGGAGCTTTTTATAAACTACTTTTGTTTGTAACCAATAAAGTTTGATGTATTCTATTGCATTATCACATCTGTGTGTTTTTACAATCGTGTGCATGGGGAACCATTGTTGTTCTATTATTTATTGACTTGCATCTCTAGTCAAGAGAAAGTGAATACCGGAGTGTCAACAAGCTTTTTTGATTATGGTATGTCTTTCAACTAAATGCGTTTGTAGTTGTTTTGCAGTTGGATGACATCATTAAAATAAATGCCAATTTGTTTTACTCTGAACGTGTTTTACGTTACAAATTTTGGAAACATTGAAAGCTGCTATGTCGCCTTGGAGTGCCACTAAAGATTTACAGTTGTAAATACATATACAGTTGAATGATTGTTTCCAAATCATTACATTTTACCGGAGGGAAGTGTTTAGTCACAAAAGTAATGATTTAGGCGCGGGCACGTTAACTTGAAGTTTAACCTTTTATCGATTGTTTAGAGCAAAGAAATAAAATGAATTTAGATCTATGCTAAGAGCGATTTTGTTTAATCGATTATAAATCAATTACATTCATTTTTTTCTGTAATCGATTGCAATCGATAATGTATAAAGATATAATAGATCAATTGTTGATTACTTTTATAAATCATTTTCCTCAAACATTATACTTATTAGCAGAAAAATTTCAATTGGAACACGGTGATTATTTGTTAATGATACCTTCTGAAGGCTGATTGTGTCCACTTTCAGTATAGATTCGAATTCTGTTATAGTTATTATACTAGTATAAATACTTTGATCTAACATGCTCTCTTTTAAATGTTTAAATTCAAAAGAGCGGAGAAATGGTTTCAAAAATGAAATTAGTTAATTCTTTTGGACTATCTGAACTTTCATATTTATTGAACTTTGTAGGACATCCCTACATCCCATAGAGGGTCAAGTCAGAGGTCAAATTCGGAACAGCTCTAGACTTATTCCTTTCAACAATATACAATGATTTTGCAGGCGACGATTTGATTGGTTGGTGGGATTTGACCTCTGACGTGACCCTCAATGGGATGTTGTTAGATGTTAGTGTAGCGAGTATGCGAGCTGATCTAACATCTAATTTTAATTAGATTGGAAAAGGGGCAATCTTGTTGTGTATTAAAAACTATAATCCGGAAATTTCAGAGTAAAAATTTTCGAAAGCAAAGTATACATACAGTATATTGTCAGCCCGTTCAGTTGTGGTGAGTAGACTTAAACAATTGAACACACTCGGTGAATCGTAAACATAACAATAACGGAGTTCGTACTCTGTTTACAAAATAGTGTACGTTTTACTGATGTGCTAACTTTGAGTCCTTGCTCAGTTGTGTATACAGACTATAGCAATGGAGCACACCCGTTGAATTGTAAATATAACAATAACAGAGCTCGTGTCCTGTTTACAAAAATAGTACATTTCACGGATGTTTTAATTTGTTAGAGTCTGTACACAGCACAAAGTGCGAAATGGTGATATGTGTAAAAGGGTTTTGCTTTCGAACATTTCGACTCTGAAATAATTATTTTCTCTGGAATAAAATTTTCATTTTCATTAATACACAACGAAATTACCACTTTTCTTAAGCATCAAGAATAAAATTAAAATTTTTGACAGTTCAAGGATGTGATAATCAACCCCGTCCAGAAATTTGAAGTTTCAATAACTTTGAGATGAAAAAAAGATTTTTATTATATTTTTGTGTGAGGTAGTAGTGCAATATATACTAAATCGTAATACTATACAAAAAAATTGAGAAAATATTTACTTCAAATCTGTGTCTAAACATCTTTTTAAAAACTAATTGTAATTACTTTTCGGAATTGAAACAAACATTTCAAGAGCTATAAATCGTTCTTCATCGCCTGCATAGAGAGATTATATATCTCAGTTGATTCGATACACAAGAGCATACTCTACTTATGAACAAATTTAAAACAAAATAAATTATTTGACAAATAAGTTGATGAAACAAGAATATCAGCAGTCTCGTTTAAAGTCATCATTTCGTAAGTTCTATGTTCGATATAATGACCTTTTCAGCAAATATACTCTTTTAAAAAAGAAACGCACAATAGGAACAAAAGCATGAAAAATGTAGCATATTTTGTCATACAATTGGTTAATTCAATATGAATTATTGGAGTAAAGATCAGATTGGTTGAAATTTATAAATTTCTTAAATTAATGACACTAAAAACAACGTAAAAAGGCTCAAAACACAAAAAATGGAAATGTCATTGTAATCAAAAACATATTTTAATAGATACTATGAAATCTTTAATTTACGTAGGGTTTTAATTTTCGAGGTATGAAAAGACCCACATATTCATGTCAACCAGGAAATGTCACAAAACTACACAAGAATTCTTCACACAGAAATCAATACCCGGAGAATTTTTCCTCATGCACACCACGAAAATTTGACCCTATTTACCGTAATTAGAACTTAAATTTTATTAACTTATTCCTTATCGTTATCATTAGAACTAGATTAGAAATATCACCTTTCCTGACTTAATTGATAAAAGTAAGTCTTATAATACAATACAAAAAATATATTGAGCCTTCACTTCAATCTTCTAAAATTAATTTTGTGAAAGAAGAGGAGTCGTCGTTATTAAAAGTCTTATGATTTTGATGATTGCGAGGTGACATTATTAAACCAATGATCGCCATTAGAAAACAATTGGCAGCAATATGCCAGGTAAAGATCAGAGCTACCAACATTAACCCGGCGTGATCGCTTGGTTCCCATACAGTTTGGAATGAAAACTGTGGATAGAATATAATGCCAGTTGCCAGTACCAAGTTCCTTGAAAGAGATACCCAAAACATTTCATTATCGCACACAGTATACTATCTCGATATTTCATTTCCAGCGCTATCCCCATGAAGGTGATAAGAATTACGTATACAAGCAAGGTGTGCAGTAAAACATCTAAATCATTTCGGCCGT